GTGGGATTAAATCTGGAGTATCTGAGAGTTAGAGCAAAGGAAGGGGTAGCAGTAATGTTGAAGGATCAGTTATGGAAGGAGAAAAGAGAATATGAATTTTAAATTCAAGAATTAGTGGATTAAAGTAAAGGTTGGATGCGAAAAGTGGGTTATAACAAGCGTGTATGCACCTGGAGAAGAGAGGAATGTAGAGGAGAGAGAGAGTTTTTGGGGAGATGTTAAGTGAATGTATAGGACCTTTGAACCAAGTGAGAGAGTAATTGTGGTAGGGGACCTGAATGCTAAAGTAGGAAAACTTTTAGAGGGGGTGTGGTAGGTAATTTTTGGGTGCCAGTGTAAATGAAAATGGAGCCCTTTGATTGAACTTTGTATAGAAAGGGGTTTAGTTAAAAGGTAATACAAAATTTTAGGAAAAAGAGATAAATAAGTATACAAAAATATGATGTAGGGCGAAATGACAGTAGTTTGTTGGATTATGTATTGGTAGATAAAAGACTGTTGAGTAGACTTCAGGATGTACATGTTTATAGAGGGGCCACAGATATATCAGACCCACATTTTAGTTGTAGCAACGCTGAGAGTAAAAGGTAAAATGGGATCAAGGAGAATAGAAGCATCAGGGAAGAGAGAGTAAAGGGTTTATAAACTAAAAGAGGAGGCAGTGTAGGGTAAGATATAAACAGCTATTGGAGGATAGATGGGCTAATGAGAGCATAGTAAAGTGGGGTCGAAGAAGTAAGGGTAGGTTTAAAAATGTAGTGTTGGAGTGTTCAGCAGAATTTTTGTGGTTACGGGAAGGTGGGTGCGGGAGGGAAGAGGAGCGATTGGTGGAATAAATGATGTAAAGAGAGTAGTAAGGGAGAAAAAGTTAGCAATGAGAAGTTTTTACAAAGTAGAAGTGATGCAAGGAGGGAAGAGTATATGGAGAAAAAGAGAGAGGTTAAGAGAGTGATGAAGCAATGTAAAAAGAGAGCAAATGAGAGGGTGGGTGAGATGTTATCAACAAATTTCATTGAAAATAAGAAAAAGTTTTGGAGTGAGATTAAAAACTGTAGTGTAAAGCACCCTTCTGGCAAGACAGTGATGGAGTGAATGATGGTGAAAGTTTTTCTTTTTCGGGCCACCCTGCCTTGGTGGGAATCGGCCAGTGTGATAATAATAAAATAATTAACAAGTTAAGGAAGCCTAGAGAACAAATGGATTTGTCAGTTAAAAATAGGAGAGGAGAATTATTAAATGGAGAATTAGAGGTATTGGGAAGATGGAGGGAATATTTTGAGGAATTGTTAAATGTTGATGAAGATAGGGAAGCTGTGATTTCGTGTATAGGGCAAGGAGGAATAACATCTTGTAGGAGTGAGGAAGAGCCAGTTGTGAGTGTGGGGGAAGTTCGTGAGGCAGTAGGTAAAATGAAAGGAGGTAAGGCAGCTGGGATTGATGGGATAAAGAAGAAATGTTAAAAGCAGGTGGGATATAGTTTTGGAGTGGTTGGTGCAATTATTTAATAAATGTATGGAAGAGGTAAGGTACCTAGGGATTGGCAGAGAGCATGCATATTCCTTTGTATAAAGGCAAAGGGACAAAAGAAGTGCAAAAATTATAGGGGATAAGTTTGTTGAGTGTACCAGGTAAAGTGTATGGTAGAGTTATTATTGAAAGAATTAAGAGTAAGACGGAGAATAGGATAGCAGATGAACAAGGAGGCTTAGGAAAGGTAGGGGTGTGTGGACCAGGTTTTTACAGTGAAACACATAAGTGAACAGTATTTAGATAAGGCTAAAGAGGTCTTTGTGGCATTTATGGATTTGGAAAAGGCATATGACAGGGTGGATAGGGGGGCAATGTGGCAGATGTTGCAGGTGTATGGTGTAGGAGGTAGGTTACTGAAAGCAGTGAAGAGTTTTTACGAGGATAGTGAGGCTCAAGTTAGAGTACGTAGGAAAGAGGGAAATTATTTCCCAGTAAAAGTAGGCCTTAGACAAGGATGTGTGATGTCACCGTGGTTGTTTAATATACAGTGGACCCTCAACCAGCGATATTAATCCGTTCCTGAGAGCTCATCGTTAATCAAAATAATCGTTAGTCAAGTTAATTTTCCCCATAAGAAATAATGGAAATCAAATTAATCTGTGCAAGACACCCCAAAGTATTGAAAAAAAAATTTTTACCACATGAAATATTAATTTTAATACACACAAACTGAAGAAGACATGCACAGTTACATGACACTTACCTTTATTGAAGATCTGGTGATGATTGATGGGATGGGAGGAGGGGAGACCGTTGATCTTGTTAGTGTTTAGAAGGGGAATCCCCTTCCATTAGCACTTGAGGCAGCAAGTCTTTTTCTGGGGTTACTTCCCTTGTTCTTTTAATGCCACTAGGACCAGCTTCAGAGTCACTGGACTTCTGTCGCACAACATATCTGTCCATAGAGGCCTGTACCTCTCGTTCCTTTATCCTAAAGTGTTTCACAACATTGTCAGTGTAATAGTCACCAGCACGGCTTGCAATAGCTGTGTGAGGGTGATTTTCATCAAAAAAGGTTTGCACTTTAAGCCACATTGCACACATTTCCTTAATCTTTGAAGTAGGCAACTTCTTCAATTTCTCTCTCCCCTCCTCCAAAGCAGTTTCCTCAGGTGTGGCCTCTTACTGTTGAAGATGATCTAGCAGCTCATCAGTGGTTTGTTCTTCATTGTCCTCCTCCACCAACTCTTCCACATCCTCCCCACTAACCTCACCAATATGAGCACTAGTTCCAGGCATTTTTTCCTGTTCACCTGGTGTTAGTCAACTGTTGTGGGTCGCATCCTGGGGGACAAAATTAAGGACCCCCAATGGAAATAAGTTAGACAGTCCTCGATGATGCACTGACTTTCTTGGGTTATCCTGGGTGGCTAACCCTCCGGGTTAATCGTTTTCTCAGTAATTGTTTCACGTTAAGCCACACGAACAACACTCTCTCCACATCTTCGAGTAATACAGCTGATGGTGGTGCAGCAACAACAACAGCTGACTGTGGTGCAGCAGCAGCTGCACCTTTGGCAAGAACAGCTTCCTTGATTGCCGTTTTCTTACCCACAATAGTAGCGATGGTTGATTGGGGTTTATTATACAACCTGACCAGCTCAGAGACACGCACTCCACTTTCATACTTAGCAATGATCTCTTTCTTCATCTCCATAGTAATTCTCACCCTTTTTGCTGTAGGGTTGGCACTAGAAGCTTTCTTGGGGCCCATGGTGACTTACTTTGCAGGTGCAATCACTACAAAGGCTGTGATAATATGAAATGTTCCAGTTGTTGTATGTTTGGAAGCGACTGCGGTGGCTGGCTGGCTTGTAAACACTGACACCCAAGGGACAAGTGAGGTGCGCTCAGGCCAAAGTGGACGCGTATGGTACGGAACAAATAGCGCTGGTCGGGTTTTTAAGCACTAGTTGAGGCAAAATTTTTGCATTTAAATGTATCGCTAGTCATATTTATCGTTAATCGATGCCATCACTGGTTAAAGGTCCACTGTATTTATAGATGGGGTTGTAAGAGAAGTAAATGCGAGGGTCTTGGCAAGAGGCGTGGAGTTAAAAGATAAAGAATCACACGTAAAGTGGGAGTTGTCACAGTTGCTCTTTGCTGATGACACTGTGCTCTTTGGAGATTCTGAAGAGAAGTTGCAGAGATTGGTGGATGAATTTGGTAGGGTATGCAAAAGAAGAAAATTAAAAGTGAATACAGGAAAGAGTAAGGTTATGAGGATAACAAAAAGATTAGGTGATGAAAGATTGGATATCAGATTGGAGGGAGAGGGTATGGAGGAGGTGAATGTATTCAGATATTTGGGAGTGGACGTGTCAGCGGATGGGTCTATGAAAGATGAGGGGAAAAGGGTGAGTGGTGCACTTAGGAGTCTGTGGAGACAAAGAACTTTGTCCTTGGAGGCAAAGAGGGGAATGTATGAGAGAATAGTTTTACCAACGCTCTTATATGGGTGTGAAGCATGGTGATGAATGTTTGCAGCGAGGAGAAGGCTGGAGGCAGTGGAGATGTCATGTCTGAGGGCAATGTGTGGTGTGAATATAATGCAGAGAATTCGTAGTTTGGAAGTTAGGAGGAGGTGCGGGATTACCAAAAACTGTTGTCCAGAGGCTGAGGAAGGGTTGCTGAGGTGGTTCGGACATGTAGAGAGAATGGAGCGAAACAGAATGACTTCAAGAGTGCATCAGTCTGTAGTGGAAGGAAGGTGGGGTAGGGGTCGGCCTAGGAAAGGTTGGAGAGAGGGGGTAAAGGAGGTTTTGTGTGCGAGGGGCTTGGACTTCCAGCAGGCATGCGTGAGCGTGTTTGATAGGAGTGAATGGAGACAAATGGTTTTTAATACTTGACGTACTGTTGGAGTGTGAGCAAAGTAACATTTATGAAGGGGTTCAGGGAAACCGGCAGGCCGGACTTGAGTCCTGGAGATGGGAAGTACAGTGCCTGCACTCTGAAGGAGGGGTGTTAATGTTGCAGTTTAAAAACTGTAGTGTAATGCACCCTTCTGGCAAGACAGTGATGGAGTGAATGATGGTGAAAGTTTTTCTTTTTTGGGCCACCCTGCCTTGGTGGCCACCCTGCCTTGGTGGGAATCGGCCAGTGTGATAATAAAAAGAAAAAAAAAGTTTAATAATTATAATGCTGTACATTTTACAAAACAAATGAAGAAATTAAAAATTAAATAGAAAATGAAATTCTGGGTTCAAAATATTATAACAATACCCTCCTTTAAGAGAAATATGCCTACTTCTTCCCCACATAAAAATAAGGCCTAAAATTTATATCAATTAAGAATTCCACAGGTTGAGTCTTAAAGAAAAGAGTGAAACAAATTAAACATGAAATCTTGGCAACTTTCTTTCAAAAGGTCTGCGGAAAGTTGCAACCATGAGAGATAAAGATACGGAGATATAGATAAGGCATATCCATCCTTCCCTTACATCAAGGAGGAAGCCATTTAAAATTACCACGAAGATGGTGCAGCCTAGAGTCCCAAGTTTTCTGAACTTGTTGTATTTCCTTAACATGTGCACCTGCAAAGGCAAATGTAAATTAATGGTTATGTAACACTATTTGTTCTCCATATCTTACAAATAGAAATCACATATCAATTGAAAGCTTATACTGAAAATAACTAAGACAATTTTGGAGCTATAAAAAGTCTTATCCATTGTAAAATAATTTCTACTTGCAGCATTATATACTCTTCATATGAAGCTAAAATTAGTGTTCAAAAACATGCTTAATCTTCTACAACTTTTATAATAATTGAAATTATGTGTATATGCTTTTAATGGATGGAGCTTCGAGAAAAATATATCTGCACAAAATATAGAGCTAATAACTTTATTACCAAAAATATCTTTTCTTCTCCTATATTCAGTCTCTCTCCTCATTTTAAATTGCTTTTATGCATTAATAAATATAAACATAAATACAAGCTCCAACAGTTTCAAAAATCCAGAAAAGAAGCCCACAATGTAAATAAAGGAGACAGTTTCTATATTGGGACTATGGTAGACTACAACAATCAAAACTGTTTCAGTATAGACTGGTTATAAATGACCATAATTTTTAAAAGGGTGGACCGGTAAGCCAGCGGAAGGCCTCGGTCAGATGACCAAAAGCTCCAAAGGCGGGTCATCATCTGACTAAGACCCGCGTCAGGAAACATTTGTCCTGTTTCCTGACGAACCTTACCTAACCTAACCTAACTGTTTCAGTTCCCCTTCTTTACAGCCATAATGAACAAAATAAATAAAATCTCATAAGGAAATGGCATAACCATTAACTTTTAAAATCTTCATCCCATAAAAGTATAGCTGCTTGGGGAACTCTACCATGAAAATTACTAATACAGTGGACCCCCGCATAACGATTACCTCCGAATGTGACCAATTATGTAAGTGTATTTATGTAAGTGCATTTGTACGTGTATGTTTGGGGGTCTGAAATGGACTAATCTACTTCACAATATTTCTTATGGGAACAAATTCGGTCAGTACTGGCACCTGAACATACTTCTGGAGTGAAAAAATATCGTTAACCGGGGGTCCACTGTACATAATAAACTATTTACCACTTGGCTCTATGAAACTTTATATAAAAAGCATACAAGAGAATTACAAAATAATAAAGGGGAAAGACGGAGTAGTTATTTCCATACAACCAACAGTTAACAACTATGGCTTAATAGGCTTTAAAATTACAAAAAAAAAAAAAAATATTTCCAAATTGGCACATTCATCTCTGACCTGTAAAATCTGCAGGAGCATCTCAGTCAAGAAGAATATACCATGCCAAGGTGAAGGACCATCAAGTTCCTGTTGCAAACAGATTACATCTCATTAGAGCAGTAATATGTCAAATATAAGACAGTCTGAATTACTTAAGTGTTAGAACCAATTATGAGTACATGCATTATCAACCTCAACCTAACATGTACTGTACAGGCATATATCACAAATAAAGTTACTATGCTCTACCTTGTAAAATAAATAAACCAGGTGTTTGTGATCTGTTCAGTTATCCCTACAAATTAACGGAGGGTTGTATCCCTTGATGCCCCACACAAAAGTATAAACAACTAATAAAATAAATAGCATAAAAATTTGGTTTCAGATTTGGGATTACTCTTTCAGAGACAATTTTATTTTTCAACATACCAGCCGTCTCCCATCAAGGCAGGGTGACCCAAAAATACTATAAAGCTTATCTTCATCCCATCAAAAAACAAATACAGTAAAATCCATAAAGTGCCATCCAATTTCTAGAGGTCCCCATGAATCCAGAAACAGCAAAACATGTTGGATGATCAAAATTTGTGAAATTGGAGATATTGCTGTATTCACCAGACTACTGATGAATATAGTATACTAGTGCTCTCATCCAAACTATAGAGACAGGGGTGTACCTGGAGGGTGTTTCAGGAGTCAACGCCCCTGTGGCTATCTTCATGCATCAATTTCTTTTTGTTTAAATTTATATACTTTTATATTTTAAATAAGCATGAAACTGTGGTCATTTTTATAACAAATATCAATGCATTTAATCCAAAATGAGGAAAAAATGTTCTGCCAACTCCAACAAATAACAAAAATTAAATTTACATTTATGAACTAATTTGTATTAAACAAATATTGCTCACTCTGCCTTGGTGAGAATGGCCAATACATTTAAAATAAAAAAAAAAGCATTTGGTTAAAAAAAAGTCCACCGTATGAAATAAGTAACAAGTACACATTTCTTGACAAATGTATACAATTCAACTCCTGTTTACACAAGTGATGACCAAACAAGTAGTATGAGCTCCTGTTATGCAACTCTGATTGCCAATCAAGCAAATATACAACTCTTGTTTTACAAATATGACAGCCAAACAGACAATTATTCAGCTTTTGTTTTACAAGTGTAATGGACAAAGAAACATGTATTTTTTAAACAATATTTGGTGTGCTCCTCCAAAAGTACATTTAAAGGATAAAAGCAAAACTATCTGAAGAAAATTCTGTATGAGGCAGTCCATTAAGTAAGACCTCAAGCAGGGAATTATGCATCAGTAATATACTGAGATAAGTCAACATCAAAAATAATAAAAAAAAGAAATATTAAAATAAAAATAAGTATTTTCGAGCCTGGTACTTCAACTTACCTCTAGGCTGGACATATTGATGGCTACGGCTCCTCTGTATATGTCGAGTAATACACACACTACAGCAAAAACAATCCCCAGCCAACCATACCATGGAACTGGCTTCAGCTTTAATGCAACACCCACTGTAAAAAAGCCAAAAAATTAAAAGCATGGTCTTAAACGTTACTGCACCCATTCTCCGATCTCAAAAGTGGGGGTGTACAAGCCACAGCAATTCTGTTCAATAAACTTGAATATTAAACATTCCCAGACATTTTCAAAAGACCCAGAGTGACTTGTCCACAAAGGTGGATATCCCTCGGGGTTACAATTATGGTACAGGCCAACATTATCAACAATATTTAAGATAATCTAAAAGCAACTATATTCTTGCACAACCAAGCATGGTTTACTGAATTCTTGCTCATATGAATTCAGAATAAAAAATACAAATGTCCTAAACAAAGCAGCTCTTAAGAATGAACGAGTCTTACTGACACTGATAACCACACAAATCTCCGTAAAGGAGTCGCTCATATTACCTCATGCAATCATACCTCAATAGAGCCATAATACATACAGAATCTCATTTAGTCAACAAATAAGGATGGGGATCCCTGTAGACAGTGTACCTGGTCCTTTCCTGTTCCTCTTATATATATATCAACAAGCTCTCAAATGTTTCAAACATACTTCATACAGTTCTGACCTATGTTTTGAGAGTATTGTAAGTATTGTAAGTATACAATGTAACAGTATCTTCTGTGTAATTTATAATAAAGTACATTTTTGGGCAAAACTTTTTTTTTTCAATTTTAGAACCAAATATTTTTTGTTCAAAACTTTCTAACAAACAGCAGTCACTAGTGAAGTTCATGGGTTTGTTATCCACAATGAATCTAGGAGCATAACCACTGCGAATAACATTCTACACAACTCACCACTAACAAAAAAATTACGCAATGATGCTCCAACATACCCATTGAAATATCCTTGTTGATAACCCCATTTGCAATGGTACCATTTGATAAGCCAAGAGATTTTGGAATGTGTGGAGATGTGGTACATGGTGGACTAGGTGCTGAAGATGGTGGTGGCTCTAACTGGTGCATTTTCATATAAGAAGGTGGGTGAAGGTTAAGGTCTGTTGTCATTTCTGCCAAGTTTAACCTAGATGCAAGTGCTCGTGTACTACTGTACTTCTGCCTCGTCTTTTGAAGAAAGGTGTCTGGAAAGAGATCAGCATTAATCCTATTTTTATGACTTATAAATCCCTGCACATGAAGTAATAATCATTTAAACATAAATAATAGTGAAAGTGTTTGTTTTTTGGGTCACTCTGCCTCAGTGGGAGATGGCCAGTAGTTAAAAATAAATTTAAACAATATACTTTTATCCAGCAGCAGTCTAGAAAACTGCTCTCATTACATACTTCAACATACCTCTTACAATACAGTAAACATGCAGCATTTATCTCTCTTCTTGAAACATATATTGCCTAATATCAAACATCTCCCTAAGTAATATTAAAATACAAGTCTTCCCCTAGTCTCATAACTCATCTGGTTATTAAAAGATGTTTGATATACACATCGTACATTATATTTTAATCTTAATACTAATGGGTACTGTTATGAAATCTGGCTTGGTAGGAGACAGAAATTTCTGAAATTTGATTGGCAGTGTTACTACAAACTCAGATTTAATACAAACATTGCAGAGCACAAGTTTATAAGAATGTATTTAATTAAATTTTATGTGAAACAATTATCAACTAAATCTGCAAATATCTAATACATACTTAAAAAAGATGACAATAAATATTCTCTAGATTTAACCCTTAACCCTTTCAGGGTCCGTCCCGTAGATCTACGGCTTTACGTTCAGGGTCCAAACCGTAGATCTACGCCATGAGCTCAGCTCTCACTGATAAACTGTGAGTGGTACATTTGGGCCTAGATATGAGAGAATACATCTATGTGGTATGTGTGCACCACATAAAACAGATCCTGCAGCACACTGTGTATAATGAGAGAAAAAAAATGAAATCATGATTTTTCGATTAAAACAGCAACTTTGCAGTGTTTTTTCGTATGTTTTTTATAGTTGTATTTGCGATTTCTTGGTCTCATTTGATAGAATGGAAGACATATTACAGAAATAGAGATGATTTTGATTGGTTTTAGCACTGGAAATGGCTTGAAACTGAGCTCAAAGTAGCAGAAATGTTAAATTTTTGCCGATATTCAAGAGTAAACAAACGACCTCACACGTCTAATACACGTCAGCTGGGGGTCTAATATACATTCACAAATATGGTGATGATATTTATACAATTATTACAGTATTGCATAACAGTAAATCTTCTATTTTTTGGTGTAATAAAAATTCATTATGTGAATAAAAAATCAAAATGGAATTTATTTGTAAAGCCTCAAAACATAACTAATGAACAGAGGAAATGTTAGTTTAGTGCCAGGAATGCCTACATTGTTCATTCTGGACCCTATTTGAAATTGGAATATTTTGAACTTTGTGTTAAATTGGCCAAATTAACAATTTCCGATCACTTTATTTTGTAGTTGAAACAGTTGACTTGGCGATTTCTTGTGCTCAATCGATAGAATAGAAGTAATACTAGTGAAATAGCTAAGAATTTGGTTGATTGGAATAATGTAATTGGCCTAAAATGGGAGTCAAAGTCGGCAAAATCGCCGATTCGTAAATATCGCTGACACATCAAAATTCGCGAGAGCATAATTTCGTCAATTTTCCACCAAATTTCGTACTTTTTGTTTTATTACCTTCACAAAAAGATTCTCTATGATTTCATAAGAAAAAATAAAAAAATTTTTTTTTGAAAATTCTTGGACACTGGTGCGTGACTCCAGATTTGGGCCTTGGACCCTGAAAGGGTTAAACTGTCCAAACACAGATATACGTTTACACAGCTAGCGCTCCGAACGTAGATCTACTTTTTTTTTTTTTACATTTGAAAGCACGTAAAATAAAATGTAGATCTACGTTCAGAGTGCTAGCGGTGCAAACGTAGATCTACGTTTGGACAGTTTAAGGGTTAAAGAACACTGTAAGTAATATTACTATTATTTTGGAATGGTAGGCTTCCCAACAAGTATGTTAAGAAAACCTCATAAGAAGACCTGACAAGCTTTACAAATCAATGGCAATGTTTGTCACCAAAAGAAACATCACCTTGAAGTAAAGGGTTGCACTGCACATACTTCCATCTTAAAATACCACTACTGAAGTTAGAGAACCTAACAATACAATATAGACTCGTGTAATCAAATTTTCTTACCAAATTCAATAAATGCATAGGGTCTTCTGACTGATTTAACAACAGAGGAAGTGTAGAGAACATTAAATTCCTTCATCAGTTCATCGAGGAAACTGAAGGCAAGAATGTGTGGATAATTGGGCTCACACACAACCATGTAAGCGGTACAGTCATCCACTACACAGCTGAAAATTATAAAACATTTTCAAGTATGCAACTGCTCATGTTACAAGGGTGATGGTAAAAGAAGTTAGCTTAATGAAAAAATATCTATGAAAGATAAACATGGATTAATAATATACAATATCCTACCAGAATACATATACGTACAGCACGTGTAATTTATATCTTCTGTATGACTTGACGAAGGTATTCAGAGATCAGAATATTTTCCCTATAAAAGCTCTTCCTGCAAAAGTGTCTTTGCTTCACTAGTAATGACAGTATTATGCCATTTAGATCCAAGATCAGAGCACCTTGAATCTTCTACTCACTGTATAGTAATTTCTTCAGCCTGGAGACACACTCGTTTACCCAACTCAGACAGCTGTTTGCTCAGTAATTTGACGCATCTTTTTCCTTCTCTAACACGTACATCAGCATCACTAGCAAAATCTGTAGTAGCAGAGAGTGGAATACCATCTGCTAACCGGGATAAACAGGCATACACGATCATCTGGAAAAGAAAACAACACAGGCAAATTACACAATATATATTTGCATTTTATCTTGAAAATTCTAATTTATTTTTGTGAGTGCATACCAGTAAAAGAATGTTATAAAGCATAACTTTTACCATAACTTCACAAATTATGAGCCAGTTCAGGAAGAGGGCTAAAAGGTACTTAACCCTTAAACTGTCCAAACAGATTTATGTTCACATGCGTAGTGTTCCAAAAGTAGATTTATGTTTTTTTTTACATATTTTCAAATATAACAAAAAAAAAAAAAGTAGATCAAAATTTTTTTTACATGCTTTCAAATGTAAAAAAAAAAAATCTACATTTTTTTTACATACTTTCAAATGTTGAAAAAACGTAGAACTACGTTTGGACAGTTTAAAGATTAATAAATGAAGCTACAGAAAGGGAGAAGAATGATTTCTTGTACAGCTAAAATATATGTACCTATTACCGCAACATTTATGTACCTATTACTGTGATCTGATCCTCTCTTTAATGTTAATGTAAATAACTCAGTTTATCTTATTCCTAGTATAACTCCTTGTATTGTAAATACTTTTCACATAGTTGAGTTACTTAGCATTTTTAACTGTTAAGATTTAAATAATAAGATATTACAAGGCCCCCAATGGAAATAAGTCACTTTGTCTGACTTATTTCCATTGGGTAATCTACACATATGCTACACAAATAACCCGCACATAAAAGAGAGAAGCTTACGACGACGTTTCGGTCTGACTCGGACCATTGACAAAGTCACACTAACCAGAGGTGGAGCAGGACGGCTATATATAGGCAGGAAGAGGTGGTGGTGGTAGTAGTAGTAGTAGTAGTAGTAGTAGTACAAGAATTGTATATAATACCGACAAGATGAAATCAAGACACATGCACAACACCCGGGCATCCCCATCGTAGACGTTTCGATGGGGATGCTCGGGTGTTGTGCATGTGTCTTGATTTCATCTTGTCGGTATTATATACAATTCTTGTACTACTACTACTACCACCACCTCTTCCTGCCTATATATAGTCGTCCTGCTCCACCTCTGGTTAGTGTGACTTTGTCAATGGTCCAAGTCAGACCGAAACGTCGTCGTAAGCTTCTCTCTTTTATGTGCGGGTTATTTGTGTATCGTTCCAGTCACGGTATTGTGCCTTTTTGTTATTTATCTACACATATGCTGCTATGTATGATAATTTATGCAACTGTATTTATATGTACCTGTACCTGAATAAACTTACTCACTTACTTAGAACTAATTGCATTAAATAAAATTTGTTGGTAATTCTTTCTTTCTTGAAACTGAAAAAATATCATAGGGAATTTATTAATGAATAAAGTGGCTATCTGTCCCGTAGCTGTGAAGTGAATAATTTGTTAGGGATTACTGGCATGGCAGTGTGGTAGCGATTGGTTTATAGGTTAGGGTAGGTTGCATAATCCTTTAAAAACATATGCTTAACCACAAATATGCAAACTGAAATAATCAAACATGACACAACTGAAAATACATTCAATATTTACTTGTGTTTGGGCAACTAGCTGCCTGTCAGTGTTGGCTGAAATGAATTGATGAATTTATCATTAATAATGAGGTAGACAACATGATGTTTCTGCTTTAAATTCTAACTTTCCATTCCCAACCATTATTTATTGTCAAATGAGACTTGGCAAAGTGAAATTATTACTCAGTATCAGGAGTTGCATTATGCTGCCAACACTTTGTGTTTTATAACAAAAAAGGAGAATAAGTATCTAAACCAGCTTACTTCTAAGTATGTTTTATTCAGACTAAGTTTATAGATGCTTTTGCATATTAATGCTGTAAATTTCTACAATGTACCTTCATGTGATTCCATCCATGTTTTGACACAATTACAATTATCTTAATCTACTAAAATTTTTAAATCAGAACAATTTTCATGTGAGATATAGTTGTGCTCTAAGTCCCCCTCAAGGAAGGTTCCTTGATGTTGGTGAGGGGCTCTTGATTTAGGGAATTGGATCTGTGCTCCAGTTCCCCGAAATAAGCCTGAATGCCTTCCACATCCCCCTCCAGGCGCTGTATAATCCTCCGGGTTTAGCGCTTCCCCCTTGATTATAATAATAATAATGTGTTCTAAGTCAGGTCAGGAAGATGATGATGACAATAAACATACGACACCTCTAGTCACTGAAATACAAACCTTATCATAAAAACCTCAACCAGCTGTGTTAAAGTTATGTGAGGAGGAGCGTGTGATGTGAGGCTGATGGTGTAGCAGCAGCAGTAGCAGTAACAGCATGTGGTGCAGCAGCAGTAGCAGCAGCAGCAGGTGGTGCAGCAGCAGTAGCAGCAGCAGCAGGTGGTGCAGCGGTCAGCGGCCGCCGTCGTGTCATATAATCAGCTGGAGTTTGTTTACATCTACTGTCAGTATAGATGATTGAAGTCGAAGTGGAAAAAAGAGCATCGACAGCGGTGGCCATTTCTCTCGACCTTCTAATTTAAATGTTTTTCATCAGGTTGGAATGTCTTTCATCGGTCACCCTCGCCGCCCCCGGGCCCTTGGATCCACCAGGGCCCCGGGGCCCCTTCATCCCCCGGGCCCCTGGGCCCCTGGGCTCCCACTCCCCGTCAACGAGCTACTAACTACTTCCTAGACTATCCACCCTAGCCTTCATGAGTAAAACACATGTGCATCAGTTTGGTATGTGTGTTGACGAGATCTTTCGCCTGCTTAGCAGCCTTCTTCAGTCGAAATACAAAGAAAACAGCAGATGTGATGTGAGGTGGTCAGTTCCTAAGCCCTATTCAGCTCCATTGTTTGTATCACTGAACACAGGCCAAGGCTGAGGGACTTACCACCTCCACTTCTGTCTGTATTTCAACTGAAGAATCCTGCTAAGGAGACCAAAGGTCTCTTCAGTAAAGATACCAAACTTAATTGTGTCTTGCTCGTCTAAGCTGGGGTGGCTTGTGTTTGAAGGTGCTAGGTTAAGGAGTAGTTAGGTTACCTAAGCCACTATAACCTAACCTAGCCTAATAACCTATCCTTGCCTACCATAATCTAGCTTACCCTACCATAACAGCCTACCCTAACATAACCTAGCCTACCCTAACATAACCTAGCCTACCCTAACATAACCTAGCCTGCCCTAACAACCTAGCCTACCCTAACATAACCTAGCCTACCCTAACATAACCTAGCCTACCCTAACATAACCTAGCCTACCCTAACATAACCTAGCCTGCCCTAACATAACCTAGCCTACCCTAACATAACCTAGCCTACCCTAACATAACCTAGTCTACCCTAACATAACCTAGCCTACCCTGACATAACCTAGCCTGCCCTAACATAACCTAGCCTACCCTAACATAGCCTAGCCTACCCTAACATAACCTAGCCTACCCTAACATAACCTAGCCTACCCTGACATAACCTAGCCTGCCCTAACATAACCTAGCCTACCCTAACATAGCCTACCCTAACATAGCCTACCCTAACATAGCCTACCCTAACATAGCCTAGCATAACATAACCTAGCCTACCTTAACCTAGCCTACCCTAACATAACCTAGCCTACCCTAACATAACCTAGCCTACCCTAACATAACCTAGCCTACCCTAACATAACCTAGCCTACCCTAACATAACCTAGCCTGCCCTACCATAACCTAGCCTACCCTAACATAGCCTAGCCTACCCTAACATAACCTAGCCTACCCTAACATAACCTAGCCTACCCTAACATAACCTAGCATAACAGCCTAACAACCTAGCCTACCCTAACATAACCTAGCTTACCCTAATATAACCTAACCTACCCTAACATACCCTAGCCTACCTAAACATAAACTAGTCTTCCTTAGCCTAACCTAGCTTAATATAACCTAGCCTATCTTATTCTAGCCTATCTTAACCTAGCCTACTTTAACCCAGCCTGCCTGCCCTAACATAACCTAGCCTACTAACCTACCTTTACTTACCATAACCATCATGTGTGATGGAGCATAACAAGAAAACCATCCTTCGCAATGTAATATGACAAGGAAAAACCATCTTTCACAATGGAATATGACAAGGAAAAACCATCTTTCACAATGGAATATGACAAGGAAAAAAATCATCCTTCACAATGGAATACATGGAAAAAAACCATCCTTCATAATTAATTGTGACAAGGGAAAACCACCCTTCACGATGGAATATGACAAGGAAAAAAACATCCTTCACAGTGGAATATAACAAGGGAAAAAATCCTTCACAGTGGAATATAACAAGGAAAAAACATCCTTCACAGTGGAATATAACAAGGAAAAAAACATCCTTCACAGCAGAGTATAACAAGGAAAAAAATCCTTCACAGTGGAATATAACAAGGAAAAAACATCCTTCACAGTGGAATATAACAAGGATAAAAAACATTCTTCACAGTGGAATATGACAAGGAAAAAAATCCTTCACAGTGGAATATGACAAGGAAAAAAACATCCTTCAGAGTGGAATATAACAAGGATAAAAACATCCTTCACAGTGGAATATGACAAGGAAAAAAACATCCTTCACAGTGGAATATAACAAGAAAAAAACCATCCTTCACATTGGAATATGATAGTTTATTAATAAAAATCCTGGAATATGACTGTAGGATGTTCAATATAAATTTAGAGATTACATATCACGAGACTTACAAACTATCCACACTACGGAATAAACAGTTATTTCAAGAGCAAATATTTATTTTGAGTGATAGAAGTGAAAATTAAGGTACAGTAAGGAGAAGCAGCGGGTGAAAGTCGATCAGTGTGAACTGTTAAAGCTCTGGTGGCCTGGTGGTTAACGCTCTCGCTTCACACGGCGAGGGCCTGGGTTCGATTCCCAGCCAGAGTAGAAACATTGGTCGTGTTTCTTTCCACCTGTTGTCTATGTTCACCCATCAGTAAAATGGGTGCCTGGGTGTTAGTCGACTGGTGTGGGTCGCATCCTGGGACACTAACCTAATTTGCCCCAAAATGCGGAGCATAACAAGGGACTTTCTATATAGTAGTATGTCATTTTTGTCAGCTAGGACTGTATACCTTGTACATGTACTTATAGTAAATAAAGATATTATTATTATTATTATTATTAAGACACGTGCACACAAGACGCAGAAGATGTAAACAAATGACGCACCGGATGTAAACAAATGACGCCGGATGTAAACAAATGACGCACCGGATGTAAACAAATGACGCACTGGATGTAAACAAATGACGCCGGATGTAAACAAATGACGCACCGGATGTAAACAAATGACGCACCGGATGTAAACAAATGACGCCGGATGTAAACAAATGACGCACCGGATGTAAACAAATGACACACCGGATGTTCGCTAAATATACTGATGGCGGAGTAAGGTTAAGTTAGCTGGATTTACAATTATTTTTTTATTATTTTACGGACTTGTAACTCGTATCTTAACTTTTTTTAACTTCCTGTTAATATCTTGTAATAGTCACTTAATAATTAAAAAAATTAAAATAATTAAAAGGTGTTTGAAGCCTGGCCACTGACTGTGGGTACAACTTTGTAGTACCCACAGTCAGTGGCCAGGCTTCAAACACCTTTTATTGTACAGCAATAAAGGAATGGAACAGACTACCCGCACATGTCAAAGCCAGTCATAGCGTGAACCAGTTCAAGAAGAGTGCCAAAAGGTGTCTGATGAATGTAGCTACAGAAAGGGAGGGGAATGATTTTCTATTTTTTAGCTAACATACGTGTAAATTTTACCTTATTCCTTGTAATGACCCTCGTATTGTAGATAGTCTTAATGACCTTGGTGTCGCAGATAGTCTTTTTAGTATGATAATAAGATGTTATCTTCATTGTAGAACAATAAGAAAATATTATAACCTTTATACTATAATAATAAGGTAAAAGGACCCCAATGGAAATAAGTCACTCTGTCTGACTTTTTTGGGTTATCCTAGGTTCTCTACACATATGCTGCTATATATGATAATTCTATGTAACTGTATTTGTGTATACCTGAATAAACTTACTTACTTACTTACTTACTTACTTATATGTGGTTTTTATTGTTATTATAAGTTTTGGCTTATTTATTGCCCCTTTTATGGGCTTTTCAGAATATTGATCATGTTGTGATTTGGAAAAAAAATGAATGTAAATCTGATCAGGTTTTTTTTTTAATTATTATTGGAGAAGCTCTAAAACCGTAGCTGTTATATTAAGACGGGGGCAGTTAGTCTCACAATGTGTTAAATTTTAACAATTAAAAAAATACAATGCGATCAGTGTGAAATCACATTGAATTTTTGTAGTTATGGTGAATAAATGTTAAGGTGACGTAAGTTCCCGTCTCCAAAATAATATGTTCATTATTCCACCATAATCTACCTTCTACATAATTACTATCACATTAGCTTTGTCTGTTTTGTAAATTGGAGTCTAGAATCTTTACTTAATTCATGATATAACTTAAATATCTGAGACAATAGTGTTGTAGAGGTCTGAGCCTTACTCAGGCCTCTATAACAACACTTGTTAAGTTATATCATGAATTAAGGAAAGATTTTAGACTTCACATTACGAAACAGACAAAGCAAATATGATAGTAATTATGGACAAGGTAGATTATAGTGGAAAAATAACATGTTATTAGAAGACTGGGGAAATTAGTGCCTCTTAAAGGTGTTAATTGTGATGTTTGTACACTGAAGGCTGTGTAATTACCTACATGTGGTGGAATGTTATTAGAGGGTAAGAAAGATAGCAGCATAATTAAAAGGAAGAGTTAATGTGACTATAAGAGGAAGGAGAGAGGGAAGTGGAGATATATTAATTTAATATATTGTGGCGCCTCTTCTGACCCCACCATCATGGCCGTCAAGGACAAACATCTTAATAAACATATACTACTATTTTCTTATTTACAATTCCAATATTAAGAAGTCACATATGAACTGTAATAAGTAGTATAAGTCTGAAAAAAACTATCAGATGTAGAAATTAAGCCGTTAATGGACGAGAAATGATTGATTTTTCATCAATTATTATAAAGGTATTTAGATGTTTATATATTAAATATATTAGTAAGCTACAACTCGTCATGCATTAAAATGTAATATAATTCTAGTAAGTAATATGGATAAGGTGATAATAATGAGTGATAATTATTGTTTATGAAGGTGTACATGTTGAAGGTTGGTTGATGGTTGTTGTTGTTGTGTCAAGAGGGAGGTTGTTGCAGCTCTGATACTACCACCATTACCACCACTACAACACACTCCCCACCCTCTCAACCACTCTAGTCAACACCAACAACACTTCACGCACCTGCCCACACCAACATCACCAAGCATGGCTGATGATAAAGGTGTGTAGAACAGTGATGAAGTGGGACGCCACTCCGGTCCTCGCCCGCCACGTTTGGTCAGCATTTTCCTCGCTAGTTAATGTTTCTTGTATATAGTGTAGCTCAGCACTCACCTCCCAGTGCTCCTCAGCAACCACCACGACACTGTACTTGTGTACCATCTTACACCACACCACAGTATAAGCTAAAAAAAACAGTTGTTTAACGTTTATGTTCTTAAGTTAAGCACTTCAGTGGAAACAAGTCAGTCTGACTTTTTTTTGGCCGTTATCTTGATGGGTAATTTACATTATGTATGATAATTATACTTATGTGTACCTGTCCCCTCAAGGGAGGTTCCTTGATGCTGGTGAGGGACTCTTGATCTAGGGAATTGGATCTGTGCTCCAGTTACCTGAATTAAGCCAGAATACCTTCCATCCCCCCCCCCATAGATAATAATATGTGTACCTGTGTCTAAATAAACTTACTTAATGTAGGGCTGTATGAGTTATGGGTTTAGCTCCTAAATTTATTATAAATAATAATAATAATAATAATAATAATAATAATAATAATAAAGCTTAAGAAAAAAATTAGTTGGCAACATTCTTCTCACACTCAGTGTCCAGGTTCAATCTTGGACACGGGTGGAAACTTTGTTCGTGTTTCCTTGTACCTGCTGTCCTTGTTTATCTTGATAACCTTCAAAACAAGGGAAATAATGTCATTGGTGACACTTTTCAAATCGCTCGTGCTCCTCATTTGGAATATTGCTCAAGTGTTGACGGCCTGTGGTTCATACTGCTCAACTGCTGTGGTTCGTATTGCTCATCTGTGACAGCTGTGGTTCATATGTCTGGTTGCGTGCTGCCAGCAGTAACAGCCTGGTTGATCAGGACCTGATCCACCATGAGGCCTGGTCACAGACCAGGCCGCAGGGGTGTTGACCCAAAACCCTCTCCAGGTATACTCCAGGTAGGCCCCATTGAGGGCAGGAGAAATATCAGAGCTGGAATAAGTAAGTTTATTCAAGTATACGCAAATACAATTACATAGACTATCATACATAGCAGCATATGTGTAAAGTACCTAGGATAACCCAAAAAAGTCAGACAGAGTGACTTATTCACTAAATCATCTAAGTCCTCGGTGATATTTGAACAGTGAAAAGTTTGATGTCTGAGATGGTATTTCCTAGGCTTTAATTATCAGCCTCACACACTGGAGGATGTTGAACTGACTCTTCTAAAAGTCTGAGAGTTAGTTCAGTGTCAGAGGTCACTTCATAGCACTTTTGAAATGGCTTTTGTATAAAGTTTTTTACAACTGAGCTTTAAACAAGCTGGCACATTCAGACTCCAGGAAAAACATTCAAAGACCGAGCCAATTTTTTCTGAACAAAATTGTTTGGACTCCAGTTTGTTAGAGGTCCCATACGTTCAAACACCAGGGTTACGCTGTATGTACCCACTGGAGCGGAGGAGAGAGAGATACACGATAATATATACCTGGAAAGCAATCGAGGGCCTGGTCCCAAATCTGCACAGTGCCTTAACATACTGGATCAAAAGATATGGAAGGAAGTGCAAAATAAACCCAGTGAAAAGCAAAGGTGCAGTGGGCACAATAAGGGAGTATTGTATCAGTATCTGTGGTGCCAGATTATGCAACATCTTGCAGAAGTGTAGAAGTCTTCAAAAGGAAATTGGACAAGTATCTTCACCAGGTGCCAGATCGACCAGGCTGTGATGAATATGTGGGTTGGTGGACCACCAGCAGCAACAGCCTGGTTGACCAGGCAAACACCAGATGAGCCTGGCCCATGGCCGGGCTCTGGCAGTAGAAAGACTCTTATTGTCATCTCTGCCGCTGCTGCACTGCTGCTGCTGCTGCTCCTGCTCCTACTGCTCCTACTGCTCCTACTGCTCCTACTGCTCCTACTGCTCCTACTGCTCCTACTGCTCCTACTGCTCCTACTGCTACTACTGCTACTACTGCTACTACTACTACTACTACTACTACTACTACTACCTCCTCCTCCTCCTCCTCCTCCTCCTCCTCCTCCTCCTCCTCCTCCTCCTCCTCCTCCTCCTCCTCCTCCTCCTCCTCCTCCTCCTCCTCCTCCTCCCCCCTCCCTCCTCCTCCCTCCCTCCTCCCTCCCTCCTCCCTCCCTCCTCCCTCCCTCCCTCCCTCCCCCTCCTCCCTCCCTCCTCCCTCCCTCCTCCTCCCTCCTCCTCCTCCCTCCTCCCTCCCTCCTCCTCCCTCCTCCCTCCCTCCTCCCTCCCTCCTCCCTCCCTCCTCCTCCCTCCTCCCTCCCTCCTCCCCCTCCTCCCTCCTCCTCCCTCCTCCTCCCTCCTTCCTCCTCCTCCCTCCTCCTCCCTCCTTCCTCCTCCTCCCTCTTCCTCCTTCTTTCGTGTATATTACCACACCTTCCTCTTGTGTATATTACCTCCATCTCTTTCCCACTTGTGTGTGACTTGTCAATGGTCAAAGTCAGACTGAAACATTGTCATGAGTTTCATTCTCCAATGTGTGAGTTCTTTGTGTACATGTGTTTACTACTGGAGAACAGGCTGAACAAGTATGTGGGTGAGAGAGTTGAATTTGGGAAGTTTATTCCAATATGCCTGCTGCAGTCTTCCTTTATTTTTAGCTCAAGGATATTTCTTATGTTTGTATATTGATCTAATTCAACAAATGTTTCTTATGTTCTTATTTATTCAATTTACATTAACTCTAACCTAATGTGCCAGTAGAGATGTTATAAATGCACAAATTGTAACTGGTGTCAGTGATATTTTTTTTTTTTTTTGTGAATTTTCAAGTTGGATGATTAAAAGTAGCAGTACAGGAGAGCCCTGCTTATACAGCAGGTTAGGTTCTGGGCTGCTGCTGCAAAGTAAAAATTGTTGTGAAGTGAATCATAGCCTTTTTTCACTTTCAAATACTACATATAAAAACCTGATTGCATATTTTAACTATCATATAATAAATGAGCCATATAGTTAGGCCTAAAAAAATGTATATACAGTACACCCATTACTTACCTTAAAATATTTTCATCCTTAGCTTATAGTGAGTGGTAAATATATTTATTGTAGGAAGCCGGAATAAATGAAGAATGGATATAATGAAAACTGCTATACTACCTAAATGCTGTAAAGCAGGGCCTGCCTTTATATACTTTTTGAGAAGAGGTTAAATTTTCTATTAGGCAAATATGCAAAAGTGCCTACATTATTTAGGCAGCTACTGAATCATAAATCAAGATGCATAGGCTCATTTTGTTTAATTTCTGAAATTATTGGACCTCATAAGACTGTTGAGATGGAACCCCTATATAATGAAAATAAAATATGTATATACTGTATGTATATTTATATGCTATGTACACCTGTAGTGTTGAAGTTTTATTTTATGAATGTTACACCGTACATCTATTTTTAGCTCGGGAAATGATGGTTCAGCGTGGGCTGGGGGCCATCCTGGCCAATATGGGTGCTGGAAAAATTGGGATTGGTAAACCTGTTGAAAAGAAGCCACCTCCTACCCCTCCCAAAGGTGAGATCCAATTAATTGCCAAACTGCTCTTGTTTCTTGAGACATAAGATCACCTTAATATATTTTATTATTTATCTTTGCTAACCCTTGTCTTGATTGCATCATATAGGAGCATTCCATCCAGGTTAAATGTTTGAATGATACTGGTAAAGGTATTGAGTCAATATGAAAAGTAAAATTGATTTACATCTGCTTATATTTTCTTTCATTTTATTCTTGGTGTCTGTCATTACTCCTGCATGTATGTATAGCATAATACCTCATTAATTTAATGTATCTTGTATTTATAAGTTAACATTGTCACACTTGACTAACATTCTCATAGTACTTGATCATGTACACAGGAGGACCTCACTTATATGGCGGGTTAGGTTCCAGGCTACCGCTGTAGAGTGAATCACCATTTTTTACTTTGAAATGCAAATTCAGTGGAACCATGGTACTCGAACTTAATTCGTTCCAGAAGGCTGTTTGAGTGCTGATCTGTTCAAGTACCGAACGAGTTTTTTCTAACCAATTTTCTTTTTTGTTGGCTGTTATCACTAATCTTCTTAGGCCTCATGGTGACTCATTCATACAAATAATATAAAAAAAAATACCAGAAAATGCGAAGAAGCACGAAATAGTTTACAGTGAGGTTCTGACAGGTCTTATTTGGTTGAGTGCCGAGCAAGCTGTCGACTACTGAGCGATTTTTTTTTTTTATCGAACAGAGCATTCGAATACTGAATTGTTCGAGTAGGGCGCTGTTCAAGTACTGACGTTGCACTGTATGCATATTTGTGGATACTGTATTTTAATGCAGTACCTTATTGCATTGGTGCTCATCACACACACACACACACACACACACACACACACACACACACATGCATGCACACAAACACACAGAGTAGTCAGTAAGTGGAATAGTTTGGGAAGCGATGTAGTGGAGGCAGGATCCATACATAGCTTTAAGCAGAGGTATGATAAAGCTCACGGCTCAGGGAGAGTGACCTAGTAGCGATCAGTGAAGAGGCGGGGCCAGGAGCTCGGACTCGACCCCCGCAACCTCAACTAGGTGAGTACACACACACACACACACACACACACACACACACACACACACACACACACACACACACACACACACACACACACACAAAACACACACTCACTCACTCACTCACTCACTCACTCACTCACTCACTCACTCACCACTCACTCACTCCTCTCACTCTCTCTCTCACTCTCTCTCTCACTCTCTCTCTCTCACACTCTCACCTCTCACACTCTCATTCACTCTCACTCTCATTCACTCTCACTCTCTCCATTCACTCTCACTCACTCTCACTCTCTCACTCTCACTCATTCTCTCACTCTCACTCATTTCTCTCACTCTCACTCACTCATTCTCTCACTCACTCACTCATTCTCTCACTCACTCACTCATTCTCTCACTCACTCTCTCACTCTCTCACTCTCTCACTCTCTCACTCTCTCACTCTCTCACTCTCTCACTCTCTCACTCTCTCTCACTCTCTCACTCTCACTCTCACTCTCTCACTCACTCTCTCTCTCTCTCTCTCTCTCTCTCTCTCTCTCTCTCTCTCTCTCTCTCTCTCTCTCTCTCTCTCTCTCTCTCTCTCTCTCTCTCCTCCAATTCAACATATGTTCTTGTTTTCCATAGACTAATAAGGATTCCAGCCCCTCTTGCTTCATAGTTAAATCCTGTGGAACATTATGGCTCGTCAACTATGTCCTCTTACACTTTGCTTCTAGTCACCACCGTATGTTACATAATTAAGACCTGTTAAGTAAGTTAACAACCACCATGTTATCAACAATGTTTAGTCACAGTTTTGAATGTTAACTTTTTGTGAAGTTTGAGATTCTTTACCCCTAGACTAGGCTGCAGGAGTAGGAAGGCTCAAAACCTATCACAGGTAGGTGTACTCACCTAACTGTGGTTGCAGGGGTCGAGACTCAGCTCCTAACCCCACCTCTTCACTGACCGCTACTGGATCCTCCCTCTCCCTGCTCTATGAGCTTTATTATACCTCGTCTTAAAACTGTGTATAGTTCCTGCCTTGACTCCATTGTTTGCCAGACTATTCCACTTCCTAACAACTCTGTGACTAAAGAAATACTTCCTAACATCCCTTTGACTCATCTGAGTCTTCAGCTTCCAATTGTGACCCCTTGTTTCTGTGTCCCATCTCTGGAACATCCTGTCTCTGTCTACTTTGTCTGTTCCACGCAGTATTTTGTATGTCATTATCATGTCTCCCCTGACCTTCCTGTCCTCCAGTGTCGTCAGACCGATTTCCCTTAACCTTTATTTATAGGACATTCCCCTTAGCTCTGGAACTAGCCTTATTGCAAACCTTTGCACTTTCTCTAATTTCTTGACGTGTTTGACTGGGTGTGGGTTCCAAACTGGTGCTGTGTACTCCAGTATGGGCCTGACGTACACAGTGTATAAGGTCTTGAACGATTCCTTACTGAGGTACCGGAACGCTATTCTCACGTTTGCCAAGCACCCATATGCCCCAGCAGTTATCTGGTTAATGTGTGTTTCTGGTGATGTACTCGATATTATATTCACTCCTAGGTCTTTCTCCTTGAGTGAGGTTTGCAGCCTTTGACCTCCTAGGCTATACTCTGTCTGCGGTCTTCTTTGCCCTTCTCTGATCTTCATGACTTTGCATTTGGCGGGGTTAAATTCTAGGAGCCAGTTTCTGGACCATGCATCCAGCCTGTCCAGGTCTCTTTGTAGACCTGTCTGGTCCGTGTCTGATATAATTCTCCTCATTAACTTCACATCATCTGCAAACAGGGACACTTCTGAGTCTATCCCTCCCGTCATGTCGTTCACATATACCAAGAATAGCATTGGTCCCAGGACTGACGCCTGTGGGACCCCGCTCGTCACTGGCGCCCGCTGTGACACCTCATCATGGACCATGACTCGCAGTTGCCTCCCTGTTAGGTATTCTCTGATCCATTGCAGTACCCTTCCTGTTATATATGTCTGTTCCTCTAGCTTCTGTACTAATCTCTTGTGAAGAACTGTGTCGAAGGCCTTCATGCAGTTCAAGAAAATGCAGTCAACCCACCCCTCCCTCTCATTTCTTACTTCAGTTACCTTGTCATAAAACTCGAGTAGGTTTGTGACACAGGTGAATGTGTATGTGCATGTGCATGCACACACATACATATACATAGCTTTAAGATGAGGTATGATAAGGTTCTTGGAGCTGGAAGAGAGTGGACCTAGTAGTGACTAATGAAGAGGCGGGGCCAAGGACTGTGACTCGGCCTTTGCAACCACATATAGATAAGTACATACATACTCCATGGATGGGTGCTTTTGGTGGTTTCAGGAAATAGGATGCTAGAGAAGAGTATAATTATATACTGTTCAACATAGAAATAAAGTATAGTATATAATTATGAGGTGCATGCATGTTTATTAGCACAATATAGATTATAGACTATTTTTTGTTTCAGTAAATTCTGCTTCCAAGTCCAAACCAGAGGGAAACCAAGAATTTACTCAAAACTCGTCGGAAGGATGGGGTGATCACAAGGAAGGGAGCAGACCCAACAGTGAAGGGGCTGCCAAAAACACAAATAATCAAAGAAAGGATATTGAAAAAAGAGAAGGTAATGATTATTATATTAATTTGTAGTCTTCCTTGATAATGTAACCTTTACCTGTTGTGCTCTATGATATTTTGAGTACTACACCATTTCATTTGCTGTAGTTGTGTATTTGAGTTTGGAGGGAATAAAACTGTAGCTTCTGTACTTGCCTCTTTACATTCAACTACCAGTCATGTTTACTTTGGATTTGAACTTTGTTGCCTGTTGTACGTTATCAGCCACAAGTCGAGTTTTTATGAAATAAATACATTAAGAGTAACCCCTCTTCCCATGATACATCACTGCATGGTGTTGTTATTGTTGGACTGAAGGATCGTGATGGCCCTTTGGCCATTTCAACTCTTCATTCAACAGTACCTAATTCCAGGCTACCACAACCCTTTAACCCAACAAAAATATCAGTCAATGATGTATCCTCAGGGATTCCAACAATTCATGTGTGGAAAGTTACTGCTCATTACATTTATAAATGTATAAATAACACTGTATAGTAGATTATTATTAGAGGGTTGCATTAATATTGCAAATTTTGAGGTTAATTTATCAGTATGATAATATGACATATCTCTTGGCAGAGTCCTTCTTCCACAGTGACAGGACCACAACTTGCTACTCACAGGTTGATAAATTATTTGTATATAGACATTATCTCGTTTCCTTACATTTTAACCCTGACGCTGCAGTGGGAGAGGTAGAGGATATGAAATGAGTGTGTGTATATTGATAGCTGATACAGGAAACAGCTAATTTATTTCCATTTGTAGAGATCTGTAACTTCTTGGGTGATAAGCAATTTACATTATTACCGGTTTCCTCAGAGGATATAAACACTGCATATTGGTTATTCAATTTCTACATATTACTTTTTGTTCTTTCTTCTTTGTTGGGTTTATGAGGGCCACTGACAGCATAAGCTATATCGAGCCCAACTTCTCGATGGTACGAGGAAGATTTGTTGCCCAAGGCTGGGCGATGAGAGAAGAGGAACAAAAGTTCCTTTGTAAACAGAGATAGAAACTTGAAGTTTCCAATTAGATCCAGTAGACCCCATTGCCAAGCCCCAGCAGAGGGATGCCCACACTCCCACCTGAGTTCAGTAACTGGCTTCCCACCAAAGACCAATAAAGAATTTTCCGCAGAGCGGAAAAAATGGAGCTGGCTAAAAGTAAGCCGATGTACAGGTGTCCCTCCTGTTGAGTGCCCGGTGGGCAAAATAGATGAGGACAAGCGTCCCAGAGAGAACGGGGAAATTTGTCACTGATACTCAGGCGAGAGAGAGATGTCCACATC